TGGTCGTTGTTGACAATGATTAATTGGGCGCGCAAATTCCGAGAAGTGTTCGAGACGGCGCGCTGACAGCTCGGTCGCACTTTATCTTCTCCCTTGTGATTGAACCCACCCACTGATGCATTCGGTTCGGCCAGAAAACCACCGAAGACTTTCTACCAATGGTGTGAAGTTTACGTACCTGGTCGCTGCCGCTTGGTTTCCTTGTCTGTGATCGTGATTGTTCCGGTGACCACCCGTTTCTTAACGTATCTACCCTGAAAAGCTAAACTTGTACATATGATTTTTTTTCAGTCGTCATAAATTCTTGCAAGTCCTAGAATCCGCCCGAAAATGCTAAGTGGAAGTGGGCATGTGCGATTCTTTGAGACGATGTATTGACGTGCACTTTGGCCTCGCCTGTCACTCGTTTTTTCACCTTTTTCATTCTTTAGTGTTCCACTCGCCTATGTGACCGCAAAAGTGACTGGTCGCTTGACATCAAGTGAACTGATAGTCCGAAACATCACGTTGCTTATTCATGAGTAAGCCAATGGCCTACTTCCTCATTTACAACGCTGTTTAGAACCCGAAGGGGCTGGAAACATATAATAATACGGCGTCATACGAGTGAACTCAACGATTACGTTAGAAGCTCTACTTTCATTCAAAAAAGGAGGGGGTGTCGGGGGAGGGGTTGTCACATTCTGAAGTCCTACAGTTCGTTCAGCACCACTCGGGCACTTCCAACCCTGCGACCAGCCGACACATCTATGTATGGAATTGTACATACGTAATCACTAAGGGACGTCCTCGATGACCTATAAAGATGCAAAAGATTGTAAGGGAAAGGTAGTGTGGTCCACAGTAGACATCCCTGTATCAGTTTCGCGGCTCAAAGTTGTAAGGTTATTGGGTCAATGCGCAAGCTACTCCAGTAACACCTCCCTTTTCCAGTGTCTCCGCCTTCAAAATTTTTCTCTAAGCCAAAAGCGATGCTATTGGACAAGTAGAATGAGATGAGTGCTCTGCTGCCTCGTCTCGGGTCTTATTGTTTATAACAATGAATCAGTATACTGGATTCGTTTCAAGGCGCAGTCTTTTGGCCTTGTACCCTGCAATTGTTTAAGGCTGGAGGGGCCCTATAAAAGCGACCATAGGCACTTTCTCTTGGTAAACGAATCACTTCATGACTTGATTTTTCATATTTCAACCCCCCCCCTGCCTAGGCTTCTTATGCGACTGCGCCTTTAAGGACATTTCTCCTGAAGTTTTTTTTTGCTGCAACACGGAATTCTATAGAAGTAGGACACGTCAGACCAGTCGTTTGAAACGTCAAAGGTCAACTTTCTATCTCGTTCATCCTTTTTCTCTTGCTTCATCCACTTCGTTTTTTGCAAGTATCATGACAAATTTGATAGCTATAACTCCATCAGCGGTAAACGAAAAGCGTCACTTGGGTTATTCTTTCTCTTTTGAATCTGATTGCTTAGATGGACCTTTGGGGAATCATTGGATGAAGCGCATGTCACAACCGCCGTTTGAAATGCTGGAATGCTCGTAAAAACTGATTCCTGAGGAATTCGGGGGACTTCGACGAATTCGCTAAAAGCATGTATTTTTCTTTCGAGAACATCGTGCTCTCCCGTCTGGTGAGCTTGTTGTGAATTGACGAATGTGATAAAAACTGTTGGATGAAAAGTAAGGAGTGAGTACATCCACAAGTCCTGGGGTGTACCATGCCTCCAACTATGTGTTCACAGTGTATTTATACATTCTGAACTCCGGATTTTTTAAGGGGCAACCTGGAATGGCAAGAAAACTTGAAGATGGATATGGATAGCCGTGGCATACGATTGCGAAGGAACCCGGACATTTGGAACAGGGCCTACCATACCTACCATTGCGACGAAGGGACCCCCACATTTTGCTCCAGCAGTTGTCGCCGAGCAAGGGATTGGCAGAAGCGAGCGTGAAATAAGAAAAGGCCCTCTAAAAACCTCTAAATTAGTCAAATGAGTGGAAAAGCACACCACACAGTATTTGGACAAATGCTCTAGAAATAGAAAGAAGTCCAAATGAGAGTTTAGCCTTTGCAATAATACGCTGGAACACTCATACTTTAAAGTCAGTGTTTTTGCTCATCTAGACAATTGTGGCATCAATTTACCGATCCCAGAGGGAGGCAAAGCTCGCTTGGTCTCACTAGGATTTAGTTCACGAACCGTGCAAATGTTAGCGGCACCTCCTTCGTATGAAAGATTTTGGTACATCTCATTTGGGCTATACGGGGGTTCGCATACTGTTCCC